ATATATGTTTTTATATATTTCTTCAAAGAATAGCTATCGGGAGATATAAGGAAATCGGCCTTATACGATATAGAATACGATATATATATAGTAACTATCGACGCCATTTTGTTTCAGATTAAACATTGGCCAGACTCTTATTTCCAGGGACTCTAAGTCGTGGCGCTCGGGCGCGCCATCTGGTCGAGCCAAGGGCGTCACGTTTGTCGTCACGCGACGTGAGGTTAGATGTCGACATCCGTCGGCCATAAACCACCGCGGGCACGCGGAAAACATGGCCACTACCGGAAGGGATGCAAGAGTGCGCGAGCGAACGAGGTCGAATTTCGGATAGTGAATCGATCTGTAATTTTTGATTCGACGTGCGATCAAAGATCCATTCCCGTCGGGAAGTGAAACGCTCGCGCGATGTATCAAGTAAAATCGATAATACCGTCGTTACGAGTTATTCCATCGAGTCAGATGTACGCTATGCCCAATATACACGAGGACGGACATGGCCACCGAAGCAGCAGCTGTAACGATGATGACGCCGCCGCCGCCGCCGCCGCCGCCGAAACCAACATGACCGTCGTACAACAGCAGGTTAACAATATAATCAAGGTTTCCGTTTCGTTTCCGTGCACGGCGATAATCGACACACCGCTCACTCGGCCGTTCGCGCGCCCGCTTACGCGGATCCACCATGTGGCGAATTGCGGGTAATGATTGCGGCCACGATCGCACGAACGAGCGGGACATGACTCCTCCCGAAAATTTCCGCGAACACTGATCAGCGATCGACCGGGAGCGGAGCGGAGAAGCGACACACGCCGTGGTTCCTCTCTCTCTCTGCCTTGGTTGATCGATGCTTCTTCCTGCCCCCCCGGAGAATTTTTTTCGAACAAATCGAGCACGACGCTCGTGTTCACGAAGACGAAAATTGACCGGTAGAGGAATAAGCGTTTTAAAATGACGGGGAAACGTCGCTTTTGGCGTTGGGAGAGCGAGCGATGTGTCCGAGTAGAGAGCTACTTAACCCATGAGCGGAGAAAAGATGCGATCGCAAACGTCAGATTGTCGCAAACTGTCACAGCAAGGTATATCGCACGGAAATTTGTTGAAAAGAAACGAAAATCATAGGTTCGCGCGTTATTAACGTTAACCTCATTGTTATGTCGAATTTGATTTAATGTATTTGCGATTGACAAGCGATAAAATTGTAAACAATTTAGTTTGTGCCAATATTTGCCCAAATTTGTGTTAAGTGGTAAATGTCACAGATATTTGTTATATTTATTGTGTGATATATCTTTGTTTATATTGGATTACATTTCTTACTGGTATTGCAAACTTCATTTGTAAAGAATAAGAGAGATTAGACAAGTTCTTTTGATTTCGGTGTTAAAAATATTATGCATGTGAAAGATTCTGTTTGTCTCTTGTGGAATGTAAATATATCAGATCTGAACTCGTTGTGAAGAGATACTTCATGAAAATGCTAGGAAATACCTAATATTGTAATTTAATATTGTTGTTTGCTTTTAGAAGAAGTCTTGGAACCAACAAGATTATAACGCATTGGAGGCTAGACAGGAAAGAATACTTGAGCAGTTGGCAGATCTTAAAAAGCAAGTTTCTCTGCTCTGTACTTTTCTAAAACAATCACATGATGCTGAAACTCCAACAGTCTGCGAGCCATCTAAGCTTGAGGTGAAAAATGTCAAAAAAAATATTTGACTATGCAATTGTTAAGTTATTGGTATTAAGTTTACATGTATATGTAGGCTCCAGGAAAACGAGTTGGAATTCATCTAGTCTTGAATGCAAATCCGTCTCTACCGCCATATTCAATATTGGCTTTGATCAAATTATGGAAGGATGTTAGTATTAATGTGCAAACCTTCACGCATTCTTCTATTGAAACATCTGATTTAACAGAGTCGCTCAATCGAGTTTTCAATATTTTTAATTCACACGAAGACTGTAAATATTGTGTAGACATAACATTAATATGGAAAAAAGGTAAGACCAAAGACCTAACTTCTGCTAATTTTTTAGTCAAGTATTCAGTTAAAAGACAAAATTGTTCTTACAATAATAATTTGAAAAAATGTATTGATAAATTCGTGACATAAATAGAATATTTTCATTTGTTTCTTTTTACTTTCTAATATTTTATTTATTGAATGAATGTAAAACTTTTGATGGAATTTGTGATAGAAAAATGTTTTTAAAAAATTGTATTCTATCAAGTCTACAACAGCAAAAAATAACAAAAAATAATGGGAATTGTCAGCGTGAATAAATTGCTTTTAATCAACTTATTTAGTTCACTTTTCTAACATAAAATCCATCAAAACTTGTGCCCAATAATTCATATATTTTCTATTAATAAATTTGTTCTTTAACAATCTATTTGACCTTAACAAATCATATTTAACTGCTTTCCTCTTTCAGTCAAGGTTTTACAATTTGTTACATCTCCTTTGATGCCCCCTATATTTGGAGAAGCCAATTTCTTGAGGTATCTAAGCAGATGGGCGAATAAAGATTATCACAATACAACTCATCCGGAAGCAATAGAACGTGCGCTCGATATATATTTTCCTTGGTCATTCTTAACTCCCAGTCTTCAACAAGAAAATAACTTTTCTTCTGACACATTTACAAATGTAGTACGCACGGGACTGCGTGAATTAACGAACGAATTTCGATTGTGGTCCAATAAACAAACACCTACCGTTGCCGATGTTGGCGTATGGTCTGCGATTAAAACGTTAAAACTGGCCGAAATGATACCGCATTCTCTCCAAGAATGGTATAAATCCTGCGAAATGAATTTTACAAGTGGACTTGTCGCAAAATAGTAAAAATTTTTATAATTATACAGTTTTAATATATTGATTTTTATAAATAAATAAAAATTTCTCATGTATTTTTGAAAGTGTACGAGACTTATTTTACACCATTAATTTTTATACGTAGGTTGCTGCGTGTGTATATATTTTTGACTCTGCATAACATTCATAATATTCTAAGAAATTTGATTTGCATTAGTTTGAGAAACTCTGTCGAAACTTAAATTTGTATTTAAAAAAGTATTAGAAAAGTAAAATGTCTTAAATGTATGTGATTAAATAAATTGATTTTTATAATTTTTTATTACAAATTTTATATATTAAAACGTATACAGATAAATTTGCAGTTAAATACCTGCAAAACCGTTTTAAAAGTAAACAAAAGTTTTATACCTGGAAAAAAATGGAATGATTTTTTACCTGTAGAAAAACGGAATTTTTCTTACCGGATACGCGCACGCGCGCGAATTGTCAATTTTGTAGTTGTAATTTTATTAATTGGATAAAACTTTCTTAAAATGGGCTCTGTCTCACCCAAGTTTTATTATTTTTATTATTCGCATAGAAACATTTACGCAATTACAATTCAGTTCGATATCCAGTTTTTGATATTGCCGTATGTCATTAAAATGAGAATGTTATGAATATTTTCTCTCTACTGGTTATACTATCTTATATACAAGGATGTGTTATGAAGATAAATATACATAAAAATTTTATATATATTTATAAATTTCATATATATACGGTAAAAACTCCACATTTTCGCAAAATTTCTTTCTTGCAAATATCTTATAATTTTTATATCAGAAATAATCCCGCGAATATACTTAACTAAAAATTTTCATAAAATAAACTAAAAACTAAAACTTTTCTGTTTTTGGTTACATATACATTTATACATATAATTTTTCCATATATTTGATTTTCACTTTTATGATTCTACGGCAGTCACATAATAATTATCGTAAATATAGAGTTTTCACCGTGTTATCACAAAATGTAAATGCAATATATGTGGCTCATTGTATATCGGCAGCATACAAATTCTACACTTTTGCAATAGAAAATATACAACATATTTACACATCTGATGTAGTATACATCAATGTAGGAGCGACTTTGTACAGAGCGGTTTACGACTTGTAGTTATAAAAACTTTCTAACAAGAGAAACGTGTGATATGATAGGCCTGATACGGTTAGAACTTGACATACGAAAAATTAACACACATTATTGGTTTGTTTGTTTGTTTTTTTTTTTTTTTTTTTTTTTTTTTTTTTTTTTTTGTTTCTAAAACCTATATCGCGTAATATTACAAACCGTCATTCTCTACGTATAATCCCGTAACTCCAAATTGCAAATGTTAGAAGACAACAGTTTAAAAATTTAAAACTTTATATGTTTCTCTAGTTAAGGGATTCTTTTGATTTCAAATTTTTACCTTATGAATATTTTTTTTTTTTTCAATATTTGATAACCATAAAAAACACGATTTTTAAGTATCACTGTGCGATAAACTAAAAATCCCGTGACACTTATGTAATTTATAAGTAGGGAGTGACGACGTTCTTCTTTCTTACAAGTCGTATTATAAACATATCTATTATTATTAAACACCTTTGACGCAACGTTCGAGATCCGTGTAATATTTGATGATTCTTAAAAGCTAAATCTTAGAAAGTACAAAAATACCTAGTAAAATGCAAAGTGTCGTATCGAAAGTTTATAAATAATATAAAAAGGTTTATCAATATATCACAATACGAAGATGCCTTTCAAGCTTCCTAATTTGCTATAAGTCTGTGCCGTTAACACGTGTAAAAACTCACGTGTTCTCGACGTAAGTCTTTCGCTCTATAAAAAAAATTAAAAAAAAAAAAACGGATATCTCGTTTGAAGAGAGTGAGATATCGTGGAGACGATAATTTTTTGATATCGATATTCATATACAAGTCTTTTTTATGTTTTACTATAAATTTTAACTATTTTTAATTAAACAAACGATGAGAAACCTGGCAGTGGCGCTCTCGATCTAGCCATATTGTTCATGATGATTTGGCCGCCGTTTAAACTAACGACCGCGCTGCCTTCTGGCTCGGAATCTGTGTACGACGAGTAGTTCCGAACGGGTTTCTGTCGTTTCCATGACTGCCTCAACGAATCGTTTACATTAGCGTAGTGATTCACGAAGGAATGTGGATCGGATTGTACACTCTCGTTCTCGCTCTCCGAACCCTATTGTAAATAAAAACAAATAATAATGATGATTTCGATTATTCGCAAAATAACAAACATTGTGTTGTTAAATTTTTACCTGAGAATCGGTAGAACTGATCTCCGAAGGTTTTTCCGTAACGCTACTGTCGTCAGGATTCTCGTCGTATCCCTTGAGGCTTTCCTCGTCGCTGTTATAAGCAACCGACGCGGGAGAAGGTCGGGGAGGCGATTTGCCTAACATCGCTGGTGGCGGAGGATGCATAGCCTTACGAGCCAGTGTGTTCCTCTTGCCCAAAGTGCCACTTGCCGCATTGGCGGTGCCGCCTCCACCCTGACGCGATCTGTACAATTCGAAATCCGACTCCTGCCTGTCGTCCATCGCCATTGACTCTTCGAGAGTCTTTTGTGCCTCTTCTATAAATCATTGATATCAATATAGATATCAAAACAAATTTCATATATGTATATGCGTACGTGCATATAAATATTAAAACTTACGTTTATATTTGTAACTTTTGCTCTTTACGCACAACACCGCTATGATCGTGATAATTATTATAATGGAAGTAGCAGCCAAAGTGACCATAAACCAAGTTTGTCTATAAAACGGTCTGTGTTGCAGATACGCGTATTCCAAGTACAGCTTCGATGGCGTCAAAATCTAACAAAATAATCCAATTGAGAATAGTTGATTACGCATAAAAGAGAATCTTCTAAATAGATAATAGATAAATTACAGATATGAGCAAATGGACTTGGTTAGGTGGCGTGCGAGAGTGCATACATGTTTTTGAGAGCGTGCGATAAAATAGCGAGTTTGATAGATAAATCGAGCAGAAAAGTAAGTGTAAGCAGTCGAAACAGACGTAGAAGATAAAGAAATAGGAGGAGAAATAAAGGCAAAGAAATCGGCTAGGAACGGGAAGAGAAAACAGGAAGGGAAGAAAGGCGGGATACAAGAGGTTACGGCGGCAAAAGGATCGGAGATAGGAAAGATGAGCAGAGTGACAAAGAGCAGGAAGGAGAGAGAAGAGAATCAAAGAACTCTGGAATTTACCACCGAGACAAGAGAGAACACAGGCAAATCGGAGAAAAAGAAGATAATCTTTGCGGAAAAAGAAGTTAGCGGTAGACGGAGTGATGAATATGATCCGGAAATAGTAGAGAGGATTAAGAAGGAGATATTAGAGAAAATAGATATGGAAAGAAGAGAATTAGAATATGAGAGAAAAAAGCATGTAGAATTAATAGAAGAATGGAAAAAGGCGGAAAAAGCGTGGGAAATAAGATTAAGAATTGTGGAAGACAAGCTGGATGAGATTGGTAAAATTGTAAAGGATCTAAAGGAGAGAGAAGAGGAGAGAGAGAGGTTCAAGACAACTGAATGGAGAGAGACGGACGGGAGAAGTAGAGATAGTAGCCGTGTAAGCAGCTATGCGGAATCGACATCTGGATTAAGTGAGGACAGGTTCAGCGAGATAGAAATACGAAAATTAAAAAGCATAATTTTAAATAAAGACAAAGAAGAAAGAAAGAAGAATATAATAATAAAAGGTATAACAGAGAAAAAGAAACTGAATCTCATAAAAGAGGACCCTAAAACATGGGCAAGATGGTTTATAAAAACAAAAATAGGTCTGGATTGCAACATTGAGCATAGCAGAGTCAGTAATAACGTAGTGATAATAAAATTAAGCAGCGAGGATGAAAAAAAGAAGATAATGAAAAATAAATATAAGCTAACAGGAAAAAAAATTTTCATACAAAATGATCTAACGTGGGAGGAAAGAAAAATACAAGAAAGAATTAATAAGTGGGCGAAAGAGAAAAGAGAGAAAGGAAAAGAGGTTAAGATAGGCACAGGGAAAGTAAGGAATCAGGGAGTAATGGAGGGATGTAGAAAGAGAAATAGAAGAGGAGGAGAGAAGACGATATTAGAGGGAAGAGGAAGACGTGGGAAAAGCCGAGGCGGGGAGAGAGAATCGGGAAGAGAGGGAAGATAAAGATGTGTCAGAGGAAAACTAACTTCGGGCCAAGAAGAGGAAGAGAAGGAAAGGAAATAGGAAAGGAACACAGAGGAAAATAATGTTTTGGAACGTAGCAGGAATAGAAAGTAAGAATGTTGAGTTCTAGAATTTTATAAAGGGATTCGACTATATAGGTCTAGGAGAAACATGGATCACGGAAAAGGACTGGGAGAGTTGGAGGTGTAAACTATCAGATACGCACATGTGGATTAGTAAAAATGCAGTAAAGAAAAGAGGAAAGGGGAGAGCTAGCGGAGGCTTAATCGCAGGACTAAACAAGGAATGGAAGGAGGAAAGTTGGAAGGTAGTGGAAACGGAACAAAAGAGCATGCTACACGTGAGAAGAGAAGATGAGGAAGACAGTCTAAATATAATACTGATATATAACAAAGAGCACAAAGGAAAGGAGATAGGATAGGTAAAGCAATTACTAGGATAACGGAAAAATATGAAAAAGAAATGATAATAGTAGGAGGAAATTTTAACATAAGGACAGGAGAACTTGGAAGGGAAGATCATGACGGAGGTAGAACAAGGAAAAGTAAAGATAAAACGATAGGTAATGGCGGTGAAAAGTTCATGGATATAATGGAAGAAAAGGGGCTAAGTATCTTAAACGGCAAGACTGAAGGAAACTGGGAAGGAGAATTTACTTACGTTGGTGCTAGAGGCAGTACGGTGATTGATTATATATTTGTGAATGAACCAGTATTAAGCAAAGTTTTAGATTTCAAAGTTGAGGAAAGAGTGGATTCGAACCACTTGCCGGTAAGAATGAATTTGATCACGGAAGAAGAAGAGGACAGAAATGAAGAAAGAAGACAAAAAGCAGAAGAGGCACAAGTTGAAAGGAAGGTTATTTGTTGGGACAGCGAGGCAATAGAGGAATATAAAACGAGAACGGAAGAAACTGGATGGATAGTGGAACAGGAAGATAATGTGAATAAAACATGGGGAAAACTAAAAGAATTGGTGGAAAAGGTCATGATAAAGAAAGATATCAAGATAAAGAATAAAAGGATAGAATATAAAGACTGGTGGGATAAAAGCTGCACGAAGAGGAAAAGAGAAGTTAAGAAGTTTTATAGGAAATGGAGAAGAGGTAAAATTATGAGGGAAGAATACATAGAACATAGAAAAGAATTAAGAAGGTTTTTAGAAAAGAAGAGAAAGAGAAAACGGAAGGAAGAGGAAAAAGCTCTGAAGATGATCAAGACGGAAACAGAGGTTAGGAAATTCATAAACAAAAAGAGAAAGAGAAAAGAATGGAGAGAACCCACCATAGAAAAAGAAGAATGGAGAAGGTTAGGATACTTCATGAACCTGCTGGATGGGCAAGAGTTGAGGGAAACAAAGAAAGAAAACGAGATGTTCAGACAAGAGGAAGAATTGATTTCGGAAGAAGAGAGCCATGGGAAGAAGACGGAGGATTTTGAGGAAAGCTGAAAAGAAAATTGTAATTGTGACAGATAAGACATGTAGGATAATAATAATAATATATACGCAAAGAGAGAGAAAACTAGAATAAATTAGGTATCTAAGAATAATGTATATTTATTCACATTTATTTAGTTATTTAAAAATTAAAAGAGTATTTAATTTACTGTGATACAGGCTGTAAGTTAGTAGTTACAAAATATGAGCGAGATAACATGAAAGTATGTGTAAAATAGAGAAAAGAAAAGAGAGATAGTAAGATACGTAAGTTAAGATATAGGTGAGCAAATAAGGTATAAGTATAAAAATGTATGGCAAAAAGGGAAGGAGGTAAATGGAAAGAGGTGTAAACCAAGTTCCCTTCTTGGCCAACTGGCTGAAGTATAAATAAATAATAAATAATACACATATGGGAAAATCCACCGTAGTTTTAACTTTTGTACTTTTTTTTTCTTCAAATGTGCGGCACATACATCTTATATTGACGAACATGTTTGGAATAGGTTCAAGAACACCAATCTGCGCGCGTTAAGGTTTTAAGTAAATAACGCAAAGTTTATCTGATTGAGGTCGATTTTATATTTCTTTTCAGTTTTACAATGCGACCAGTTTTAAATTGCGTACTCTTAACGTCATAACTAATAAAATTGGGTTTGAAAAAATTGCGGCCACATGTGGATTCCGTGGTAAGATATAAGAAAGGGTTTACAGTTGATATGGACTGAAAAAATTTTTCTCGGAATATGCGCCAAGATGATTTGTGGATTTTTCAATAAATTTACGTTTTTGAAGACAATCTTTGATACACTGGTGTGTATTTGATTTTTGAAGCGCAATTTTCAACAGCGTTTAAAATTTTTCGTTTTTGTGTTTGCTACAAATTCAAGTAACTCAGTTAGTCAATTAACTTAACGGCGCGTATGTAATATTGTTAACTTTACGAAAATTAATAAATTTGCAAAAATAAAGAGACAAGTTTTTCAACGGCCACCATTTTTTACGGTTACATGGCACACGATCGACCTCCAGGGAAAAGATATATATAAATGCAAGAAAGAACTAACTTTTCCATTTATTACGAAAGCGTTATATAACATGGCGCAGATACAAAGTTATTAAGAGTGAGAAACACAAAAATTTGAAAGGGACGAAATAAATTGTATTTTCTATATTTTTACCGACTTAGTGTACTTTTAAATGCCAGCAATGACACGAACGCTCTGCATTTTTATACACAGTTATTACTAAATAGTATACAAAGAAAAAATACGTTTTGTGCATGGGCGCAGGATTTTTTTCAGGGGGGAGAGCGGAGCAATTTTTCCGTCCCAAAAATTATGAATTTTACAGAAAAATTTCACTGTACAGAGAGTTTTCACGAATAGATGTATGATTTAATTTGTTAACCAAGGATTTCAAACTTGTTTCAAGATAAAAAAACACAATTTGTGAAAAAACTTGCCTCTTCAGGGAGGGTAGGGCAAATGCCAGGTTTGCCTCCTTTGTGCATATGAAAAACAACTCAGATTTATCGAAAGTCAATCAAAAGTTAAAACTACGGTGGATTTGCCCATATGAATGACATGTGTGTGTGAGAGAAAAAAATATGTTTAAAAGTAATTTCTTTTTAATATAGTTTACCGTTTCGGAAGAATAGACTGGATAACTGATTCCATAACGATTGTACGATATCACTCTGAATAGATACGACGTGGATGGTAGTAAATTTTGATACGATACGCTGTACTCTGTTAAGAGCCCGTTGCTAGTACGACCTATTGTCTGCCAACGTGAATCGTCTATAATCGACACAAAAAAACATATGATATTTTAAGTCAGACAAACGTAACGCTTTTTAAAACAATCCTAAGAAAATTTTCTTAGATGTAAAAATAAAGCTTGGAATATCTGAGTACCCGCTCGGCTGCCTGTATATCTGTATCCTAACGAAATATCCAAGGTGTCTGACAACGAACTATAAAGCCGACGTGTGTAGGTAGATCGAGTTATTCTGAACAGAAAAGTTATTTACCATTTTGAAAAAATCGCAATAGTTATTGAAATATGAATTAATAAATGTGAGCCAATGAGAGCGTGGGGAGCGATGATCGGACTCTATAGGCGTGCACGATTATCTAATGAAAAGAAAAATGGCTTCTCTTATGTAAAGTCTTAGTAACGAGAGTAAACAAACAAGCGCGGCACGATTCAGTTTCTTGCGATCGGGCGCTATTCGGCGGTACGCAGCGAGCAGCGGCGAGCAAGGAGTAGAGCTGATAATTGTGCACGCCTATAGAGTCCGATCATCACTTCCCGAGCTCTCATTGGCTCACATTTATTAATTCATATTTCAATAACTACTGCAAAGTTTGCAAAACGCGGTAAATAACTTTTCTGTTCAGAATAACTCAATTTACCTATACACGCCGGCTTTATAGTTCGTTGTCAGACACCTTGTAGAACAGACGGACGAGTATTCATAATACTCTTAGTATTCAGTATTTTTTTCGAGCCTTAATAAAGATATTTTAAATATGACACGTTCTTAATAATCAGTCTGTCAATTTCTCAAGACTTTGTTAACATAACATTGTGTACAAGTGAAATGTTCTGAATAAAAAACTTCAACTTAATATGAAAATTGTAATATATATACAGGGTGTCCGACAATTAGTATAAAATCTATGGTAGGCAGGTAGAAGAAGTAAAACTGAGTAGAAAAGTCTTGAACCATTTTTTTCTATTACATAAAGAATTATATAAGTATAAAGAAATAATTATTGAATAAATCAAGCCAATCAGCGCCGACCTTTAACCGAACGCACGTCAGTGAACCACGCGCCTGGTGTGCGTGAGCGCTCCGCGCAGCTTACTGACGTGCGCCCGGCTAAAGGTTGGCGCTGATTGGCTTGATTTATTCAATAATTACTTATTATATGTAATAGAAAAAACTAGTTCAAGACTTTTCGACTCAGTTTTACTCCTTCTACCTGCCTACGAGAGATTTTAAAGTAATTGTCGGACACCTTATATGTATACATACAGGTGCAGAGTGTATAAAAATTACCGGTATCGCGAAAAATCTCTTGACAACTAGGCATTTTGCAAAAAAATGTCTCAGATAAAAGTTGTAGGGTTTTAAAGGATCTATTTACTGGTCTTATCAGTTTGACCTTGAATGACATCGCCAAAGTCAGGACAAGGTCACCTTGAATTTTTTTTAATGGAACACTTTAGTTTTTATTGCAGATTCTTATAGTTTAATTCAAGAACTTTTCAAAAAACACTATAATAAAGTTTATTTTCATTAAGTACTTTCTGACTTATAAGCGATGAATATTAAAGTATTGCCGGTATTAACATTATCTATTAACGTTATTCATTTCGAATGTTGTTTTACCCAAAAAAAACTATGTTGAATAAGAAGTTAGGTTTTTTGTCAATTCTCTGCATCATGAGGTCACAAAATTCGTTTCGATCGAAATTATCTTCGTAGAAGAAGTATTCGGCGGTACTCTAATATTCAACCTTCATAAATCAAAAAGTACTTAATGAAAAAATAAACTTTATTATGTGTTAGAAAGCTCTTGAATTAAGCTATATGAATCTGTAATAAAAAAATAGAGTTCTATTTTTAAAAATCGATGTGACCTTCACCTGACCTTGGCAATGACATCCAAAGTCACACTGATATAATCAGTAAATAGATTCTTTTAAACCTCACAACTTTTATCTGTAAAACACTTTTTCCTAAAATGTCTAATTTTCGAGACTTTTCGCGGTACCGGTACTTTTTATATATCCTGTAATGAAATTTTTTATTCAGAACATCTCACTTGTACACAACGTTATGTTTTCAAAGTCTTGAGAAATTGACAATTTGATTTATTGGAAACGTGTCATTTTAAATTATAATATCAACGAGATGCTCTATGTATATATCAAATGAATGAGAATTTTATATATTATTCTGATAAAGATTCAACTGCTTAAAGACGTCCATCACTGGGACTTGAGAGTAATTGTAATTTGTGTACAATGTACACAGAAAAACGTTAAAAAAATATTTTGCTTACTACAACACGTGTGTACATCGTTCGCACGCATGATATTAAAAATAAGGATATTGATTGTTAAAAATAAGGATATTAGTTGTTAAAACTATACATTATAATGAAAACAGCAAAACTAATCAACGACTAATACAATAAATCATCACGCAAGTAATAATATAAGATCGATTACTGGATTATTTCTCAATTAATTAAGATGGTATTCCGCAACAATATGTTATAAAGAGCGCGCTATACGAAGTATAATTCAGTAAAATTCTGCCTGAACGTCTATGATATTGGGATCTTTGGAGATGTCATGCTATGACATTATCATGCAAATTGTTAATGCAATAACAAACGACCACGATATGTTTATAATATATACACAGATCAAAAGCGATATATATATATATATATATCGTACTCTAACAAGGATCTCACTATTGAAAACCATCTAATGCAACAACTGACTTTCAGCATAGTTACGTGAGTTGAAACTTACAATGCTGCCACTCTTCCATTGCTATATAGTTATAAAAAAAATTTATTAGTGTTAGAACACAGAACCGATTATCGAATTGAACGAAGTGCAAAAAAATGAATTTTATATAAATTTAAATTGCGCGAAATTGATTTTTCTAAGATTTATTTTTATAGAATAAAATAATATTCTTATTTATTAAAATTGCAACGATAACAATTTTTCCAAATTATAATTGTAATTTTTATTTTACACAATGAATAAAAAGAAAGTGATTATTGTGACTCTTGGTATCACAATTTTAATAAATAGAATTGTGAAATGATTGAATAAATAGAATTGTGAAAACTTAACATAATAAAAAAACCTATGATAAAGCTGCGTACCTTTACGACGAGTCTCGATATAATAACCAAGAATAGGACCCTTGCCGGAAGCTCCGTTGGTCCATTGCAGTTCTACGCTAGAAACAGTCTTGGACACGCCGAGATTGCTGGGTGCCATCGGCGAACCTTCTTGCGGACCGGTTGAAACGTTTCCAGATATCGGTGGTCCGAAGTCGATTGTTTGAGCGCGAACCATAAAAGTATATGTCACTTCCTCTTCCAGCGGTTGAATGAGAAGACTTGTCTCCGTCACTTTTTGCTTCACTTGTTTGCTAAAACCTTTATATAAAACATCAAATAAAACAATAATATCATTGAATGAAATAAGAAATTTATATTTTTATTTAGAAAAATCACGATTTTTAATTCAAAATTAAAATAAAAATCTCTTTTTAATATCAAATCTCCAGACATTACTCAAGATATTAATTTATCTTACGATCGTTTTGTTCTGCTGTTTCGTACGTGACGAGATAACCGACAATCTTGCCGTTGCGTAACTTTGGCGATTCCCAAGAGACACGTAAACTCGTCATGGTAATTTCAGTAAAGTGCAAATTATGCGGTGGCCCCGGTACGTCCTGCAATTATGTTGCAATTATGTGAATTACGATCGTAATGTAATCGAAAATGTTTAAAAAAAAAAATTTTTTTTTTTACGATCTTTAAAAAAGAATATTATTGTGAAAAACATCTGATATCTATAAAATCACCTGTTTTGTTCTCACGGTGATTGGCGGAGTTCGCGGACCATCTCCGGCCGGATTAAACGCTAAAACTTGTATACGATACTCGGTATATTTGTCCAAGAAGACTAAACTATGCGTCAAACAAGACGCTGGAACAACTTCTATCTCTTCTTCCTGTTTTTTCTCTAACTCTTGAGGTGAATCGGTCACCAGGTAAAAAATCTGCAACAAAAACAACAAATATTATAAAGTTACTCATTCAACGTTCAGAACTTACAAATTATTAAAACAAACAAAAAAGTATTTCACAAAATCATGTATAGGAAATCATTACTTTGTATCCTAATAAGTCGCCATTTTGCATATTGGCTTGCAGAGGTTTCCAACGTAAACGAACTTCCGTAGAAGAGATGGACTCAGCGTGTAGATGTTGCGGCTCTCCCGTAGGAACAGCTTCTCCGACATAAACGGTGACTGGTGGACTCTGTGGACCTTCACCTTCCGAGTTAAACGGCAGCACTATAATCTCGTAATACTGATTCTCTGTTAAGTCACTCAAAACCATTTTGGTTTTCTGTAACACAGAAAAATTTATTAAGATCAATATTGCGTCTTACAATTTTTTAACATGTTTTTGGTGTATCTAAATAACTTGCGTCTGTCATAAAAGTCTCAAATATTTTATCTTAGAATTCATTTTTACACACGAAATGTAAAATCATTTGACAGAGATTTTTGATCATAAATTTGTTTAAAATTTTAAATATTTTGCACGTATACTTAACGCTTGATTGTTATTGGCCGTATTGTTCCTCTTATTGATATTTTACCTTAATTCCTAGAATCTCTTTTTTTGGTGTTGTTTCTAGCGGAGTCGGAAAATTCGATACCGGTTGATACACGACACGATAACCACCAGTTTCGTAATCGCCGCTCCAATGTACTTCGTCGATCATGTTCCAATGAACCTCGACGCTAGACGTTGTTATCGGCACTACTTTTAAACCGGTGACGCCTTTTGATGGCGCTGTAAGTATAAACATATATATCAATGTTTAAAACGTTTTTTAATTTATTTAATTAATGTAGAAAGTGAAAACGAAAAATAATAATGTTAATTTTAATAATTTTCAAAATCTTTTTTTTTCCTATTATTAGCTGATTTTATTAATTTTTCACGTCTCTCATTTTTTTCTTAAAATTATTCAATACGTACCTGCAGGCAGAGTTTGCACTTGAGCGGATTCGTTACTCCAATCTGAAGGACCTATATCGTTAGTGGCCTGAATACGAAATTGATAGAAAGTGTAAGGCTTTAAATTGTTGGCCGTATAAGACGTCAAAGTGGGCTCGACTCTCTCGGGAATGGTTTGAAAAGGTCCAGAATTTTCCGATTGTTGTACCGTGTAATATCTGTCGGAAAAAAAAAAAAATTATATGTAAACAATTTATATGTAATATTAAAAAATTTGAATTTGTATTCAAGATGTACCTTAAGGGTGCGAAACCGTCTTTGCCCGGCGTCCAACTGAAAGTTATCTGACGACTTTGAATCTGCGATTTGCTCACTTGAGGCACCGACGGTACTTGTGGACGTTCTCTGTTATTTGTGGTAAATACAAGCGCATAAGCCGTCTTACCCCAACCCAACTTCGTCTGTGCCGTAACAGAGAACATGTAATATTTTTCGGATTCAAGTCCGGTAGCTCTGTAAGCAGTAATTATTATGATGTTCAACAGAATCTAAATTTTCAGAGAGACGAGAGCAAATCAAAGAAAGAACTTTTATACCTGAATGTTCTGTCCGACGCTGGAAATTCTTTAGAAAACTGACGATCTTGACTGTTGTTCAGATGAAACAAGACCTTGTACGCGAGAATCTCTCCGTTAGGATCTTCTGGGGTATCCCAGATGATGCGCGCTGTGGTGAAGCTCACATCAGGAAAAGATACGTTAGACGGTGGACCAGGAGCTGGAATATGAAACGTTACTATTATAGTCTCCATTATAAGAAATTTATCGTAAATCTTATACTTTTCGTATATTAATATAAAAAATATAGATTATATAATAATAAAAATATAAATTATATAATAATATAAATTTATGAAAATATACATATAAACCTAGTGTCCAATAAAAAATTCATCTATTTAATAAAGAAAATTCATCATCTTACTGTCTTCAAAAGTTTGTACTCTGACGGGTGGAGAACTCAGTGCACCGTCACCGAGTCTTGTGTAAGCCAGAACCTGTATGTGATACTGCACAAATTTGCGAAGTTCCGTTAAGGTGGTTGTAAAAGTGCTATTGCTAGGAATGTTCTTGTACTGAAAAGGCGATCGGGAATTTGCGCTGTAGTAGACTTTAAAACCCTCGATCTGTCCGTTTTGATGTTCCACAGGCACATCACCCCATCGCACTAAGATAGTTGTCGAAGACGTCGCGTTCGCCTCTACGTTGATCGGTCCCAGAGAAGGAACTGAAAAGTATTGCATTACGTACATCAATACTCGCAAGTGTGTAGAATTTTATTTAAAATGTTTTTTCAAAAATAAAAAAAACATAAAGTTCTATACACGCGTGAACAAAGAACATATGTTGAAACTGACCTGACTCGCGAGTTCGTTCGACGGCCTTCGGACTCGCTGCCGAAGATCCAACGTCATTGAACGCTTGCATTACTATTTCGTAATCGGCGTATTCCTCCATATTCTCGAGAACGTACGAATTAGCGGTGGAATCTTCGATGGTAATACTCTTCGAAATGTTCGATCGCACTTCTGTATATGTAACATTGTATCCGCGTGGATTTCCATACCATTCTATTTGTTGCAATGGCTGCAACACAACAAATTATACATACTTGTACTTTTACCGTGAAATAATATTTGCAATAACAATTGGTGTAAACATATTGATAATTCGCATGAAATAACTCAATAATGCTTACAATCCATCTGACGCGTAACTCGGTAGCGCTCATCGCGCGCACAGTGACATTTTTCGGAGGATGAGAGGGTGGTGCCTGAATCGTTTGAAACTCTTTGGTTGGCTCGGAGGGCTGCGAGGCACCAACAACATTATTCGCGATCAAACGAAGTTTGTATTGCATGAAGGGAATCAAACCGTCAACGGTAATGGTACTGGCGTCGGGATCGGACACCTCGTAAATGTTGTACCACGTCGAGTTTCGCGCCGTTTGTGCCTGAGAAATTGAGAAAACATTTTTTTTTTACATTTTTTAATTTTTTTCTAAGTACGACAATAATATTCCTGACTACGTGCAGTAATATTTTTCGATATTTTTGTAGTAAAAGGTCATATCTAAAGGTCTACTAACCTGCACCGTCCATTTCGTGATGGATGAGTTGCCGTCAAATCCTGGTGTGAATTGTAACACAACGGAAAACGCATCTATGTTAGATAACGCCAGTTTTGTGGGTGGTTCTGGCAGCACGGGTTCCACACCCGATTGTATGGTAGCCACTTTTGGATTGCTTGATCCAACCGATGTCCAAGCGGTGACTTCAAACGTGTAGTGAGTCATTGCCTGAGAGAAACAAATTTTTAATTATTGTGAGTTTGTAAATTTGTGATTTTTACATTCGGATTTGTTTAGCATGTGAACATTGACAGCTACCTGAAGATGCTCTACTTTGACCGACAGTACATCAGCTGTGAAATTCTCGACATGTAAAGAATCCGGAACTTTTTTGATCATGTACTTTAATTGATAATGTGTTAATATTCCGTTGGTTTCTTTGGGAGAACTCCACTTAACCGTCAGCGCACGATCACTGATATCTTCAAATTGCAAGTTCTCTACTTCATCGGGCACTATCGAGAAGAAAAACATAAAATTATAAAAACTTGCATAGTTGTAACAATTAATTTTTTATTTGCGTTTGTATTTATTACATAATGAAGAAAACTAATCCATAAACAATTTTCAATTAGAATTATGGTCATTTGTCAAAAAATTATTAATTTTTAAATGTGATTGTTTTGTAATAAGTTATTTAATTAATGTATTGTGATAATTTATAAATAAACACACCGTCTTCTTGAGTGCGAACTTCAACAGGCGAGCTTCTTTCGCCATCACCTGGATCAGTAAAGCAAAGTACTGTAATGTTATATAAAGTGTACTTTCTCAAACCCGTCATTATAGCGTTCTGCTCGGCGAGCGGATCAAATAAACTCGGCGGAACGGTCATCGATTTATATTCGGTTGCTTCTGTAAAATTATCACCGATCCAAGCTTGCAATTTGTATCCCTGATTTATTCCGTTGATTTTTTGCGGATTCGGTGGTTTCCACCAAACTTCTACCGCCGTTGAATTAATCGCCTCCGCTCTTACATTGATAGGCGGTGCTTCCGGAACTGTAAAGTATAAAATAAAAAGTTTTTATAAAAGAAAAAAGTATATAAAAACTTTTCGAAAAACTTATACAATATTAAAATTACAAATTTATTCTCTGACCACTTTCTTTAACATATAATTACATAATTAATCACCTCCTTCCTTGGTTTTTATCTTCAAGCCTGGATCGGTAAATACGCCTACACCTATTTCGTTGTAAGCTGCTATTTCTATTTTATAATCCTTCCAGGTGATCAAATCGGTGATAAGATAATTTCTTTGCGATTCGTTAGTGATATTTTGCACCGTCCACGGACTGTCATTGTACCCGAACAATCGGTATCGCAATATATATCCTAAAATATGGCCGTTTCGATATTCCTCTAATGGTGCCTGCCACTGCGTGATTATTTCTGATGTTGAACGTGCTGAGCCGACAAAACCTACGGGCGGGCCGCTAGGTCCTGATAAAAAAAAAAAAAAGCATTGTATAACTAATATAATACTCAATATATTTTGTTAATCAATTAATTTATTAATAAATATAAATATTCAAATATCTTTTATTTTTTTCTGTAATCACTTACGTTCTTGAGGCAGGACGATAATATTGCTGGGAACTGATGATGGACCTACGCCGACGCTATTTTCGGCGCTAACACGAAATTGAAAAGCCGCCGCGGCTTTCAAATTGTCCACCAATACCCATCGTTCCGTCGAGGACACATTTTTGCATTCCGTCCAATTTATTAATAATGGATCAGATACTTGTTCTATTTGTGTAACATATTTTTGATAAAAAATAGATAGATAAAAAATCAAGCATGTATTGTCTGTGTAAATTCAAAACTTTTGCTTGTATCTGTTTACCTAAAGTAGATACTTCTCGGCTTTGGATTATGAATTTCTTTGTAGGACTATTGCCGTCGAATCCGGGCACCCACGTGACGTTGATCGTCCGTGGTGAGATCCGTTCGACACGTGTGGCCACAACGTTGATCGGCGCGAACGGCAATTCGACCACGCTCAGAAGAGCGGATCGCGTCTCGTTGCCACCCGGTGACACTACGGAACACGTGTAGTTCCCTACGTCGGAAGCACGAACGGCAGCAATTTCAAGAGTTCCATCCGGACGCATCTTCACTCTCTGACTCGCCTGGGTGTTGATTACTCTATAAATAACACAATAATTGATGAGCTCTTCAAGTACTGAAAAAGTTTTAAAGTTTTGTTCATCCGGCTTGATTTGCTGCATTTTCTCAAATTTGCATCACAATTGGTGAAAATTGTTATCAGTTATTAAATAATACTCTAAAGAATTAAATATACAACACATTTCCGTGTTCAAAAAATTTTACATTATTATTTAGCATCTTCTTTATTATACGTACTGAGAGTTGTGAAACCACGCTATATCATATACGACGTTGGGATCGTTTGAAACTTTGCACTGTAATTCGGCTGTGTTTCCGAGTAACACGGACGTATCAACAGGTGGTTGAATGATTTGTGTCCGAACTGTAGAGAGAGAGAAAGAGATGGTAAAAATATTAAGAGGGTTTTTTCATGTAACGACAATTTTAAATATTTTTTATACATTTTTGTTTATGAAGAATTGATTATTTTTATAAGAGATAAACAAAATGGCGGCTATTTAAAACTGTGAAACAGAAAATCGCAATTTTTTGTTTGCTTATTGGTGGTCAAAAAAGCAAGAAATTTTTGTCAAAAACAAGCGATTCTGCTACCTGCAATAGCAAGTATATAAATTGAGAATTAATCTTTTTTTATAGATTAAAAAGATTAATCTTTTTGAATTTTTTGTTTCAGATGAAACAAAAAATTGTTCTGTGTTAACTGAATTCACACCTTCACCGCGAATTTCAAGACGCCATTTTTGACCGCAGAAAGCATAATTAAAATATTAATAAATTATAACAAAAAACATTTATTTAATAACATATAAAAGATTAAAAAGATTGCGTTTTATATTCTTTATTTAAAAAATTTCTAAAACTGCTTCAAATATTAGCTATTACATGAGAAGACCCCTTCTTAAATTTAATAATAATAAAAATATTAAATTTGAAGCGTACTTGAATACTGTTTTTACATAGACATAAAACGTTTGAAAAATAAATAGTAAATATTAATATTCTTAATAATTACCCATAACAGTTAAAAATGCTGAACCATTAACAGAACCAGCTTCATTCGCACGGATGCAGGTATACTTTCCCGCATCGTTTGGCTTAGCCGCCGCGATAGAAAGATCGCCGTTGTCCAAAACTTGTACCCTACCGGCAATTTCCACAGGTATTGTATCTGTTGTTACAAGTAAACGTAATTATTACACAAACTGAATATAACGATGTCTCTTGATGATTAAACCAAACTATAGTCTCATTACCGTTGTAGTACCAAGTTGTATTCGGTTTCGGCGCCGCTACTGCGTTGCAACTCAAAGTTGCGTCCCTACCATCTAATACCGTTAAATTCTGCGGACCGTTTTCCATGATCGGTCCGGATGCTGAAAATTGATAACTTTCATTATATTTAATTGATCGAATTTTTTAAATTTTCCACATTTTCTCACAACGTGCAAATGAAAAAAAAGGTGATTAATTCATTGCTTGCAATGTACATATGTTCAATTCTCAACCCGTAATTCTCATTCTTTCTCTATTTTTCTATTTAAAATATTTGAAAGAACAAGCTTCATATTATTTTTATGCAAAACACAAACACATATTCATTAGCAAAACTACTCAAAACCAGCAGCTAAATACGATCAATGCCGCGTAATAATCACGGCACTTACCGTAGAACACAATTCAAAACAGGAAATTATTTTGGAAATGTATGGTCTAATCTATGAGAAAAAAACAAAAAAACGTGCGTGTTATTTGCAATATATCGCAGACGCGTGCGGTGAAAAAGGAATTATCATTTCGACGTACGCGTAAAATAAGTGAGACTTTTCTTTTACATGTATGTTTCTTCAGAATTATTACACATCTATTGTTCTACGATTTGAATGAAACACTAAACCAACCGAGATGATCAAATATTAATAAATTACCACTTACACATGAAAAACATTAATTACAATACATATCATGTCTCTCTTTAAGATTTTATGAACTACATTGTCGGAATGACATCTAATGAAATTTTTCTAAAAAAAAAAATATTTGATGTAAACTTTTTCTTTTTTTTTATCAAAACTATACAAAAACTCTATCGCTATAGAAAAAAGCAAAAAATCGTGAGAGGTGAAATTTATACGCAATCTTCAAGCATGTGCCAAAAAATGATAATGGAAAAAAAAGAAAAGTGAGGAAATTTCGCACCAATGTTCTTACTGTTTGGATATTGAGAGAACAAAAAATGGCGGTCAGATTGGCGAACTCTGACTACATTATAGCCAGCCGCCCAGCGAGCAACTCTGTTTCTCAATCCGCTCCCTAATCCTTCTTCTGTGCCGCACACAAAAAACACGTCATATATATATAATTATATTATTACATATCATAATATAAATGACATATTTAAGTCTCGTGTTTTGCAAATATTGAATGTGTACAGAACAGAATAAAAAACTTTTGTTTTTTTTTAGAATATTGTAACACGTCATAAAACTAAAACAAAACACTCACTTTTCGCTTTCAGCCATGTGTAACTGGATGCTTCACCAGCTTCATTTGACGCGAGGCACTGAAACATTCCTGAGTCATCCATAGTCAGTTTTTTGATCGTCAACGAGCCGTCCTCCTCCATTATGTATCTGTAAAATTCAAGTTATTGTAAGCTTTTCTTTAATAATCATAAATCAAACACAAAACGCGATCTTTTCCAAAATGTAATAAAAATAAATCAAATTTGTGTGTGTGTGTGTATGTTAAATAAGATAAAATAGTTGATAAGTTAGTATATATAGATAGTTTAAATTAGTGGTATTAAGTAATTAAGAATATAAGTTAAAATAAAATAATTTTAAAGTTGTTTATGTAAGAATTTTATAACCTAAGGGAAACAATAAATTTTATCTATTTATTTATAAAGATAAATATTTTTGCCGCGGATGAATATTTTTACCTGATTCCTAGTAAATTATCAACAGGTTCGGCATTACGGAACCAACTGATTGTTGGAGGCGGCACGCCGTTAACGTCACACGGTAATGTTACTGTAGATCCGTAATCACTTAGAGTCTCCCTTTTTAACTCCGTTATAAACGTTGGTTTTTCTGCAGAAGTGTAACAAAAGTTTCAAAAAAATCTCAGATTAATACACACAGCTGTCATTACAATACTCTAATATTTATAAACAATTATACGTAATTATTTTGTAGTAATTCTCAATAATATTATTTTACAATAATTTTAATAATTTTTAACTAATAATATAAAAAAATGTGTAGAAATTAATAATACGAGATAAAAAAATTGTCGCATTTCACATAAATTTTATTTGAATAATCACAATTTTACGACTATAAAATCACATTGTACGACTTCCAATTTATTGCATCAATGGATAAGTGCTCACCATATACAACAACCTTGGCGCTCGCGTTCACGGTCGGATAACCACCGCTTCTCAGATCCACATGGCAAGAATAAATCCCTGTGTAAGTTATGTTTGCCGAGATCAATGCGAGTGTCCTGTTCCACGAATCGTTGAAGCTATACGATATCCTAGAATTCTCGATCGGAATGCCGTCTTTCATCCACAGGGTTCTTAGCTCATGAAGCGATCTGTAACAACAATGCAGCTTGTGTTGCTTCGAATCTTTTTACGATGCACCAAAAAAGCGGGACCGCTGCGCGTGTGTGCCTGTACGTAAAGAATATAAATAAGAAATGTTTTTGATTACCTGGCATTTGCGATGCAATTTATGTACGTGACATCTTGATCCTTAATTATCTGTGTATCTTGCGGTTTGACTATTATAGTAGGGGCTACTTCCGCATTTGGATCGCCGGTTACCTGCAGCTTGAAAAATGGACTGTTCTCTTCTTTACCCAATTGTGTGTTAATGGCTCTCGCTCTGTGCACGACAAGTGTCAAAAGAAGATAACAAAAAGTTTAAACCTTCGAACCTTCAAAAAAGTTGGAAAGTCTAAGCTGTAAGATTGAAGTTTCTGTGCCACTTCGTGAAACTATAAATCACGAAGCGGAATCTCTCAAGTTTTGTGTGAATTGCAAATTTGATACAATTTTAAAAATCTTATAAATCTCGCGAAAAGTTTTGAAGCTCGAAGAATGATGAGTTCTCACGTTGATATGATAATTTCGTATTTCTACTTTTTGTTTGGTTCGTTAGAAATTTAAAAACGTAGTTTCACACACTAAGTTTCTGACGAACCTATAGGTGCCTTCGTCGCTCTCCTGAGCATTCAGAATGAGCAACGCGTGTTGCGTCGTGGCGTATTTGATGCCGTACAAAGGTGTAGTACCGTCTGAGGAGAACCACGTAACTTCGGGAGCGGGATGACTTTCGATAGGAGGTAGTTCCAGAATCGCGGCGCTACCCGACTCGACCGTCACCACTTTTTCCGTGAGATCGTCGAATACTCCCATATCTTGAATGAACACACAGATATGAAAAAAAAATCCATTACCTCATTTCAAAATCTGATGCAAAATTCTATATGATTATAATGAACAACTTCTTACAAAGTACTTACAAGCTACAGCGAAGACGAGACGATCGCTGAATATAGATCCGACGTCGTTCGTCGCGACGCAGTGATATACTCCAGCATCCTCTCGTCGCGTACTCTGAATACGGAAGTAAGGTCCTGACGTCAACTCATTGCTGAGAGGTATTCCGTCTTTGAACCATTTGTACTTTGGCTGAGGATTGCCTGTCAAAATTTACACATTTACACACACGACGCAGACCGCATGTTTATAAGATAACAGTCAGTTTACGTAAAAGTCAGTTTACGTAAAAGAGCGTGTACCCAATAATTCGATTTGGTTGGCGAAGCACGAGGCTTAAATCTTTTCTGAAACTATTACATGTGAAAAACAACCGCAGCAAACAAACGACAGTATCAACTCAAATATTATCTTTATCGATGATGCTTCTCTTTGAACATCAATTTCAAAAACACACATGTGATTTGTTTGCGAAAAACACTTTCTTCATCGCACACTTAAACATTTAATTAGAATGCACTTATGGACTTTTGTAAACAGAGTTTTGGAATTCTCTACATATTTACAGATAACTCAAATGCAAATAGAACGAACAGAAATATACAAAAGATCATTATTAACGTGCTCGTAAATGGTGACCCCGATAAACATTTACATGGATACTCCAAGAAACCAATAATACAAAAAAGTCGAACATATGCAAACTGAAAATAACATCATCGCATTACATTAGCTCTTGCACCCGCCCGATACTAATCCTATTAAATATATGCGCAGCTATTAAGCTTCGGAAGAAATAGGTTTTCACTTTGAAGCAACTGTCATATCAGCTTTGGAAGTCGCGTATCCGAGACATTAGTGAAAAATCTCGTCGAGAGCAGGTCTGCCAAGTCACGACAATGAAAGAAGACTGGACGTCGTATTAGCTAAACGCATTTTAATGTATACAGAGTATTTTAAATTTGTGGTTCGCATTTAAAAAACAAATTTTATTTTCTAGGAGAAACATGCTTTTGCGTCCACTAACTATATAATTTTTAAAATTGAGGGAAGTATTTCTTTATAGATCTTATAAAACAGAGTTGTTCAAATTCTGCAATGCAGACAACAATTTAATGCGAGATCATGAATGATTCAATATGATTCCTGTCAGCAGAGTCAGGGCCGACGTTACTACTACGACCCGTAAGTTACCTAATACTATTAGTACAGGGTCACATACGCTCGAATTACGCGCTGCTGAGCATTGGTAAGGCTTCATCTGTTCACCGCCTCATCCGTTATTCGATCTTTTCGCAGGACAATACAACGTGGCAAACCTCATCCTCATTGCTCTGCCACAAGGTCCTTACTTCTTTCTTTAGTTCTTTTGCAAATTGCAATTTTTAATACGCAATATTAAAACATATCTTTAAATATAGAAATTTTAAGATACTCCACTACGCTTCACACAAATTAATACATGGAAAAAAAGTTTTGCTATTACATACGGCTTGCAAGAAAAATTTGCCAAGCCTACTGGATTTTACTAACAAAATCTTTTGTTGATAAAGCCATAAATTTAAATAAACTTTGCGAATTTTTCTTGCTGACCAAAAAGTAACTAATATTCTTGCTATTCGAGCAAACATTTTTTTGCGTAATGATAAAATAATTAAAGCCGTTTTGAGGCACAAAGCAATTATCTCTCATGGAATATTATAAAGTTAACTTGTCAGATGTGGGTCTCCCAGACCCACTCAGATATTGCGCATCGGCGTTTTTAGAAAAAGTTAGTTTTTTTAAACGCTTATATCTTCGAAATTACCAGAGATATTTCTTTTTGTATTTTTTTTTTTTTTATTAACGCAGAAGTATTCAAACTTTTAATTAAAAAAAAAAGAAACTAAAAAAATATTAAACAAGATATGCTCGTGAAATTTTCAAATAAATGATAGTAGACAGTTGTATAAAAATATATTTTTTCTTATTAATTACAACAAAATTGAGCACCAAACTTCTCGGGTGGCATCTTCATCAGTACACTATATGTAAAATACAGGAATATTACCGAGAGTGAAGTCATTTTTGTTAGACATAAGATAAAAATTATAATTGTTACCTGAAAATAAATAATGATTAAAAAGTTGCCGGCAGAGTGAGTCTCAACCTATGAATTGCGGAGAAATCATCATCTGTGTTGTGTAAAAAAATTATAAGAGATGTCAAAAATTTATTATTAAATAGTCAAAAACTAAAATACAGATAGAATAAATTTTCACTTGCGACTCAATGCACTTCATATCACAAAACGAAAGTCAAATCAATCCGACAACGATAATCAGACGAGTTTGTAAATGTTGTTTTTCGTCAATTCGCGATGACCGAATAAGCGATCGAAAACAATTCAAACAAACAAAACAAAATGAAAAACGTTTATATATGGCTTAATTTGGCTCTGTAACGATCGATCAACGAAAAATACGGCTTTGATTCCTCTGCACTTGATTGATTGAGACTCAATGTCGGCAACTTTTTAATTATTATTTATTCTCGATAACAATTTTTATCTTATGTCTATAACAAATGTTTCACTCTCTCGGTAATTCCTGTATTTTACATATAGTGTACTCACTGATGAAATCGCAACCGATCTCACTCGAGGATCGAAACATTTGGTGCCCAATTTTGTTGTAATTAACAAGAAATATTTATACAATACTTATCCGGCATATTGGAGCTCGTTCTGCCTTTCTACTATTTATTTGAAAAAATGTTGATTTTTCGCGGAGATACTAAAGTCGCATGGGTCTCACAGACCCGGTCTGACTAACTCGTCGTTATTTTTGAGGTCTGACCAAAGGGTTAAATAATATAAAATACTAAATAATAAAAATTATTATTACATAAAGAGAAAACCGTAACATGTTGATTGTTGTTCTTACCTCTTGCTTGACATTGCAAAAATTTTGTGCGATTCTCGCTGAGAATATTGCCACTGCTTGACGGTTGATTCGTGAAACGTGGTTCCTGAAGTGGTTCTGCAAACAGAAAAATTTATTTGCCAATGGCTGGTTGCCGTATATTACGTAATCTTACAGATTTTTTTAAAAAATTGTAGATTTATATTAAAAAAAGAGCTCATGTATGTATGTATTAGCGTATAAACTTATGTGTGTAAATCAAAACTTGTATACGTAATAAAACACTTCGATTTCTATTTTAAATTCACATTATTATAATCATATAAACCTCCTTTTTCTTCTTCCTCTTTCTCTCTTTCTCTTTCGTAATTTCGATGCAATTAGAAGCTGATTTCATATGGCTGACTGACATTTGAGTCATCGTGAGCGCGCGACGTAATAATTTAACATGATGTTCCAAAAAGGCTGACGAACGAGAAAAAGAATGCAAACGGTCGCGGATGCCGGAGATGCCGAGTCACATATACGTAAACCGACACGTGCAACCCTCCCTGCGCCTACCGGACGTTCCACGCTCCGATGAATCTTGACACACGGGTATGTACACCGGTTCCCGCCTCTCGCAACCTCTCGTCGCTTTCCGTAAAACTACGGTTTTAATCAAAGACTAAAAAGTAGGAAAAAAAAGACTTTAAAAAAGTAGGAAAAATGAGCTCTCTTATTTTCTCAAGGAATTCCAAAAACGTGAGATAATTTTTTTTCTTGAAACTGTTGTTTACAAAAAATTGAAAAAAAGAATAGAGTTCGTATTTGTGTTAAAACAACTGTTGAATCTAACGATAGAAAAAAACTCATTAGAAGCAGTAAGTTTTATTTAGGTCACTCAGGAGCGTCAAGATGACGTTGCGTTTAGCCGTGAAAACAAACCTGTTTTGCAAAAGTGCAACGTTCTCGCAAGATATGATTTAATAACGTTTTTTATACGTATATTATTAATTCTTGCGTGTCGAATAATACGAAGATGAAAGCATAAAATAATGATTATTTAATTAATTATTTGAAAATATTTATACTTTCAAAAATTGAAATCAATCTCGATGCCACCATTAGATCCACCTCTAGTCGATTATTTATTTAACATTTCAATTTTAAACTACAGAAAGAATATAATTTTTACATACTGTGTTAATGTATGATTTATACAGAGCATATGCTTCCATAGATGTGTGTGTGTGTGTGTGTAAAAAAAATATACTTATATGTACACATTAAATTAAAACAACAACTTAAATGCTCGTGAAAATGACAAACTAAATATTGAAATCTATGCGAGTTTATATGTCTGTGCGGATATGTGTTTCAACTTCCAACATTAAATTAAAATAAACCTAAGGAGCTGGGATATTCACTGACATACGTGCAAAGATGAAAACGACTTTTGTCCTACAAAACGTACGGGCGTTTTGTTTTTATAATCATGACTGTTTGTCGACGATTGAGAACAGTAAACATTTGTTATTCTTGGCAGTTAAAAAAAAACAAAGCCTAACATTTTTCTTGCAGTTTCTGCTGTTGACTCTTCTTGACGATTGCATGACATGCAGTCATAAATATATTGTAGATATTTACCTTAAGATTTTGACTGAGGATGATCAAAAAATAAACCGATCGAAACGTTTCAAACTTAACAAGAAGTCTTTTCACCTTGAACTTCGCACGTACATCAGTAAATATCTCAGCTCCTTAGATTTATTTTAATTTAATTTGTAAGTTCTAATATATATTGGAGCTTATCTTAGTTTGTAATTTGTCTGCACACACATGTATATATCTACAAATTTATAAATAATAAAGTACAAAACTTGATGGTGATCGCTCGAGCGACAATCGATAGTTCGCCGCGCGTTTTTTTTTTTTTTTCAACCTGAGTAAATTTATTCCAAGCCGATGTGTCGCGCGATGCACAGCCTGCGTTCTAATCACACGCACGCTGTACAATCAGTCACGCCGTATTGTAGGTGGATTCTAAGAATGAACGGTCGTGTGATTGTGTCACACACCTGGGCTGCTATAAATAACGATTCAACTTGACACGCACTGTCGACATAAGTATAAATCGATTGTCTTCTTACGAGATGTTCTATCTACTGATGTATCAGCATTCACGTCAAGTCCGACTTTTCTGTACAAACATATTTTTTATCACAAGATAAAATGAGAACATAGTTAAGAATTTTGTTTGAGTTTTCCAACAACTAAAAATACAATTTTTTGGTGTAACTTTATCATTAAATAGTTTAAACCTTCGTTTATAGTCGTAAGGGTTAGGTTACTCTAGGCTAAGAGTAAGGAAAACGGGTGGGATTACGGAAGCCCCTTGTGTCACCTAGATCTGAGAGACCCTTTGTGACTCCCCGCTGATTTATAAACAGCTAAACTGTCTTCAGCTCAGCGTTTTCCGCCAAGCTAAGCAGAGTGCTGATTTTGTTATTATTCAGGTCTTTGGGCTCCAAAAACATGAGTCTTTGGGCTCCAAGAGACCTGTATCTTTTGACTACTAAAGTGGGACAACCGCACGGAATGTAAAGACTGTTCTCTCTTGTTTATAGTCTTATTGAATATAAAGAGTCTACAACGTGTATAAATAAATACAATTATCGAAAATATAACATCAACAAAAACATAAATCAATTTTTTAAATTCAGTTATATTAAAAAATATACATACATCATGATATATAGGATGTCCCACCTAACTTGAGCATTCTAAATATCTCGCTTATTTTTTATGATAGGAGGATGCCGAAAAGGATCATTATTATTCAGTTCAAGGATCACATTATTCAGTTCGAGGAGACAAATACTGTAATAAACAAAAACTTTTTGGATTCGTCTTGACCTTGCCCATCATATCGCGAGGATAAAAATATGTACTTTTAGATTTAAAAAAATGACAATGACCTTGAAATCTTAAAAAATATGACTTTGAAAAAAGTTCTTGTTTATTACATTATTTGTCTCCTCAAACTGAATAATGACCCTTTTCAGCATCCTCCTATCATACAAAATAAGCGAGATTATTTAGGATTCCCAAGTTAGGTGGGACACCCTGTATATTAAAATATACATATATCATGATATATATTATAAAATATACATATGTCATAACATAAATTTGTGATTTGCAATATCACTTATTTGCTATAAAACTTATCTTAGTGTCATAATATCTAACATTTATATTAATAATAGTTATTTATTTATTTATCAATAAAAGTTGTTTATTTATCAATAAAATATAGTGTCGATCTCAGACTTTAGCTAGGAAGCACAAAATATAAGCAAGCAGTTACTTTGCAGAGAGGAAACGTTTAATTGTTAATTTAACTTTAATATTATAGGATAAAACATCAAAAAGTTTATACTGTATCTTCTATATAAACTGTAACAATCTACATAATATCTTGTGAAAAAATTATAAGACAACCGAGTTCTACATCTAGTACCTACATAAGCTGGTATCTCTCGTTTTATCCTAATTATTGCAAAACAAACACATTATATATATTTATATATATTTATATTAATTATATATATTTATATTATATATACATTTATATTAATATACACGTTACACATATTTATATTAACCCTTTGTGATCAGACCTCAAAAATGACAACGAGTTACTCAGACTGCGTCTGTGAGACCCACGCGAATTTAAGATCGAATATCTCCGCAAAAAATCAATATTTTTTTCAATTTCTGTTTTTTTTAATCGAAAGTTTGAACACTTCTGCGTCAATAAAAAAAAATAAATAAATAAATAAAATTGAACAAATCTCTAGTAATTTCAAAGATATAAGCGTTTAAAAAAAAACTAATTTTTTATAGAAACGCCGATGCGCAATTCCTGAATGAGCCTGGGAAAAACCCACGTCTGACTGCAAAGGGTTAATATGTATATCTCTTTCTCATTAGATGTTTTGTTCTACACAGTAAAAAATAAAATGTTAATTTTAATTTGAGTGAACTTTCTCCTAGGACATGTAAAAATGGTTAAAACAACTCATTCGTCATGTGTTACTTATTGACAAACTAGTAAGTATAACTGACACCTTACATTTATATTTTTTATTTTGACTTTAAGTAATGTAAAAATAAAATAACATAAAAGAATTAAAACCTACATGGAAAAATAGTTCATTACAATAACTCGTAAAAAATGTACTTCAAAAAGAACAAATACATTTCTAACAAGTTATTGTACCTGTAATACTTTTTCCATGTGGTTTTTAATTATTTTACATGTTACTTTATTTTTACATTACTTAAAGTCAAAATAACAATTATAAATGTAAAGTGTCAGTACGCACTTAACATTACTAGTTCGTCAATAAGTAAAACATGATGAATGAGTTACTTTAATCATTTTTAACATGTCCCACAGAAGGTTCACTCAAATGATTAAAACTTAACATTGTTTACTGTATATTTGATTAAGTATCTACTGTGTATTTCGATTAAAATCTTATCAAATAAGGTTTAACCATCACTCGCAATAGTGATCATCGCATGATTCGAGCATATGTTCACATGCACACGTACATACATGCAAATCACAAACCACTGAAGAAACCCTATTTTAAGCCACGCAGCTGTTACCAGGGGTGAAACGGGGTAACGCGTTTACAGAAGGGCGTGGACGCGGGTCGCGAAGCGAAAGGCTTTATGGTCGTCCGTTAAATGAAGAAATTCTTCTTTTGCACGCGCGACCCAGAATTCTCTCAGTCGGTCCATTCATCTTCGAACGACGGAGTCGTACAATTTGGTTGGTACGCTCGCTGACGTGATGCGTAAAGAAACGTGTGATAAACGACATCTTGTCGAGAGAAACTCGACGTTCTGTTTACGGTAGCAGAAAAACGGACTCTGGAGTGTATAGACGAAAAATGTAATAAACGCGGAAAATCAAATTTTAAAACATAAAGAGAGTTGTTTCGCACAATTGCGTATGACTCTCGAGGTAACATAAACTTTTAAATTGACAAAATGCACTTTTGTTACATTGGCGAGAAATAAAATATGTGCAATTGTGGTGATGCAACGAGATTTACGTACGAGTGGCGAATGCAGAAACTGAGAAAAAGAACAATTCAAAAGATGCGCTTGGCTTGAAAAAGAAAAAGTGTAGACAGAAATAAGCTGATAATACCACCGAGTCGGTGGGGAGAGAAACTCCGCAAAACGTTGCGCATTGCGTCTTACTGCACGCAGCCTAGCTACACTGCGGCCGTCGGGGTGCATTACCCCTTCTTCGCTGCAGTTTGCAGGTGGTCAAACCCTAGGATTCGGGACGCGCCACACGTTGCGGGTATTTTCCGGTCGTTTTCCTCCTCCCTTTGCGGGACTCGAAAAAAAACCGACCGATTTAACAAACGAACGCGGTTGAAACGTGCGCTCCGATCGAAATTATCTTTTATAAATTATAAATTAAACTATAAAATCGATTATATAGTTTTGAATTACGCTCGCGTGTTTGTTCAAATGAAACAACAGCAATGCGGATGCTAGAAAATTGCAATCACCATCGCGAATCAAAGTAGAGACCGGTGACATAAATTACATCAATTAAACTATTGTGGTGTCTGACCGAAGTTCATTTAAATGCACCGACAACGGCACCGGGCGATCAGTCGCTTTTAAATGACGCAACACGCGATGAACTTTTACTTCGTAACTTCGAACCTACACACGGATACGATAAGAAAGTATGTATAAATCGAAACTCACACAGTTGTTTTTTAATTCTTTTTTACAGCTTTAGAGAATTTAACGTTTTTTTAATTCTGGAACACCATGTGTATACGTACATATGTGTCTGCCACTCGTCTGAGACATCGGATTGGTGTAATGCACTCGAATGCGATTGCGTTCGCAATCGTCCGTGTATGAGAAGTCGGTAGCAGAATCGAGACACGTTACCAAGATATTTGGCTGCTGGCCAACAGGCCGAGAGAGACGAGAGAGAGACACGAGCGAGTTTCACGGTCGAGACTCGGAATCCAGATAACGTTGGGCACTTGCAGGGTGGACCGTGACCTCGTGGAGAAGAATTTAATTAAATTTACGAGGAAATTTTCTCTCATACAATTTTGTTCTCACACAAGCTCAAAACAAAAATGAAAACAACATTTTTTATATGCAAATTTGTGTGAAAACACGTAAGTAATTTTCTGAGAAAATTATGCGGAGCTCCTGTTGTACTTCTTTCTCTCTTCTTTGTCACGCCATTTTACGAAATCTTTATCGCCGCTATTGTTTTGTTGTCGAGAAATTGAAACAACCGTTGTTTCTCTCTCTTTCTCTCTCTTTCTCTCTCTCTCTCTCTCTCTCTCTCTCTCTCTCTCTCTCTCTCACTCTTCTTTACACAGCGACTCTTTCATTGTTACGTTATGTGAAATGTTGGTTTTTTTCCTTTACGGTTTCGTAGAGCGCGAAAAAAGAAATTACATGATTTTCTCGCACGAGATTCAGTCGAGATTGCTCGCAATAAGGGCGGAGAAAGCGGCTTTTGATCGATGCGTCACATCTCGTTGCATTTCAAGATGCGCGACTTTAGAGCGCCAGCAGACAAAATATTTTCGGTGCACTTGGCGTTTAAGAACGTTTATTCGTGTTTGTTCTGCAAACAAACGCATCTCACGTCTTACTCTAATCCTTTCTCCCTCATTTGTTTTTCTCTCAGACTTCTTTACAGATTTTCTTCATGACTGTCTCTTGTAAAAAGCTTTTAACTTTTACATCGCCGGCATGATGCCGGATATGGATTCGTTATGGGGATGCTAATATTATATCATATTTTGAAGAAGAGTTCTCTTTTATCTGACTTGATTTGTGAGAAAAAATATTTAGAGAATCTAAATGTGTTGTTAAATGATGTAGTTTATTACATAATTTATTTATACATGATTATACAGCTTAGTAACAATAATACTATTGAAAGATTTTTGCAATTCGAAGACGTAATCAAAAACATAATCAACGATATGAACAATCCCTAAGAAACACCATTTTTTCAAAATGTAAAAATTGTATAATTTTCACTTCCGTTTCCCGCCGGCCTGGCTTCAATCGAAGCTAAGTAAAACCTAAGGCATTCCACACAATGAAAAAAACACAATTTATATATAAAAATTTCGAAAAAAATATCATGTTTTTAATGAAAAAATGTCGGCAGTCGAAAGGTTAAAATTACATTTTGAGCAACAATGTGATATTTTACATCGATACACGATCCCAACTTTTTCTATATCATCTTATTAACCGTGTCCTTCAACTGACTGCGAATTTTGTGAACACACATTCCTCTCTTCTTCACTGGCGTTTCTTCTCCATTTAATTCCCTTGTAGTACTCTTGATTGATTTCGCAAGAAATCACAAGAGGCACATTAGGCGTCTCTCGCTCTTATATTCTCAGTCATCAACTTGCCTTCACTTTGTTCTTTGTATCTCACTCTTTTATTATCGTTTTTTTAACACTGAAATAAGACGTGATTAATGGTTTTTACTTCTGATTCACACTTACATCTAGATGCTTCTAATTTTTTCTTACAAGTGATTCTCCCACGCGTTATGATGATTAGCTCTTCTTAGTCTATTAACGAATGTGGTTAAATCTCTTTTTATATAATTTGTCTCCGCAAATCATGACTTTGGCTTATCCGGTTTACAAAAAATCATGTAAAATATTTTTGGCCTTTAAATTTTTCTTCTCTCTAGGTTTCTAGTCATGGTAAATAGATTTAATGTTGTATATATATATATACGTTAATAATCTGTGATGTTGATATAGGTATAAAATAGTTAAAGAGATATAAAATAGTTAATATAGTTACAATAGTTAGTATAGTTATAATAGTTAGTATAGTTATAAAGAAGATAAAGTGCAATGTATTATGTAAGTAGGTATGATGTGTGCTGTGTAGAAGAATGTGTGAGTTTAGACTTATTGTAACCAAGTCCCCTTCTTGGCCGTTCGGCTGAAGTGATTAATAAATAAAAAAATGTTTCTTTTCTCTTTCTATGTTTTTTACTAATTTCTTTCATTATTCTTGTTGCTCTTACTTGAGAAAATTGTTCGATTTTTTGGGGTTACAATTTCTTGATATAATTTTCTTAACACTACTCCCGTGTTTCAATCGTGGCTTTGTCTTTTCTATCCATCTGTATGGATACAAATTATTTATGTCTTTGTCAGTAACTTCCTTTGATTTTCTTAGATATTCTGTCCTTTTTCTTTTAGTATTTTCATAATTTATATTGCACATTCAGTCTTAAATAATTCATTATCTTTCTTTCTACAAAAAAAAAAATTTTCTTTATACGTTTCATCTTCTCTCACGTCTAATACATTTTTTTTTCTTACCAAGATTTCTCATTACTTGTTTTTCTTTTCTTCTAGTCAACCTTGCAAATAATATTCTCAATCTCTTTGTAATTTAGACGTCAGTCTTTTATTTAAAACGAAAATAAATATGGCCCTAACGAATTGATATAGGTTAACTTTGACAATGGCAGAGTTGATGAGTCAGACAAGAGGAAAGGGTGTTTTTTTTTCAGGGGTTTGTCTGAAAATAACCACCCGCCGGCTATCGAGTGCACTTACTAGAATGCAGCGAGGAGGTGCAGTGCGCGACGCGCACATATGGTATTGAGCAAACGCTCAAGAGCGCACGTAAGCTCCGCACGAAATCGTTGCCACGTGTTGTCGATGAGGTCGATGCACATATAGAGTCCGTCAAAAAAAAGGCGAGAATTGAGTTAGTTTGCGTACGCTATGTTCCATTTAGCTTAAACAACTCGTGTCGGAAATCGACCGACTTTGCTTGCGAGCGTAAGCCGGAAAGATTTTTTTCAAACTACGGTTAGGTAAGGTACTTCACTCAATACCGGATCATTACTGTTTGAGTTCAAGTTAAAATATTAAAAATTATTATTTTAAAAAGTAAAACCTAAATTTTTTTTATTATAGTAAAGGAAGGTTTCTGTATATATAAAATTCAACTGTATATATAAAATTATATATATTTTCTTAAGTCTTTTAACGCAAAATTTTTCTAAAAACCGACTTTAATCAAGTAAATATTAAGAAACTTATAGACAAACAAGAAGACCAATATTTAACCACGATCTACTTGTTCAATAAACAATCGAATTAAAAGTAGAATTATCTAAAATCCATCTAAAAACAAAATAAATAAATATAAATAAGCCTTAAAGTTAAAGCATAAAAATAAATTGTTTTGATTTTAATACTTAGTTAAAAAAGATTGTTATGTAAAAAAATAAACATCTAACTTCAAATTCTGTACAATACTATTGGTTCTAATCTGGCAGCTTGAGAGGTACCTTACTAGATTATTATCATATATTTAATAGTTCTTAATACTATTTTTTAATTTTATTTTTAGAAGAAGAAAAGTTATTTTTTTCAACGTGCAAATGTTTGTTTCGTAAAAAAATTTTTTTAATATTAATTTTAAGTATTTATCAATCACTGTAAAATAAATAGTTATTACACTTGATTGAGTATTGGAAGATGATTGAATAAGGGGTCGAGTACCTTATCGATATCGTCTAGATATCAATTTGATTCAGGGACACTTATGTATTTTAATAAATATTACATAACTTTGCTTTCTTTTTCTCTTTCTCTTTTTCTGTCTGTCTCTCTCTCTCTCTCTCTCTCTCTCTCTCTCTCTCTCTCTTTCTATTCAATAAATTTCGTTTCTTTACTTGTGTGCACTTCGTTTTCTCTACTCTTGCACTCGAACGAGTCACTTCGAGGTATTTCGTCTGTAGTGATTAATAGTTGAAGAAGCATCGTTGCGAGAAATTGCGAGTCGCTTGTATCGGCGTGCCGTGCTGTTATCGCAACGGTGCCGAGTGTTTAAGAACCGCTCGTTCAACGAGGCGTAACTCCGAATTAGCACACACAACTATGCAGATGATTCCCATCGTGAATACGTTCCCATAGGCGAGATCCGTTTGTCTATCTCTGCCGCGTATCCTGTTGTCTTGCAATTCGCTCGCGCAGTGTAAGTTCTCCATATCCTGTAATAGAGCGCTTGTATATTCCTAACTTTTATGTCTCTTTTTTCCTAAAACTTGCAAATTTAGAACCGTTAGAATTTGTTTAACGATAAATAATTTCGTAATACATAATAATTTGTTTTGCCATTTATTCATTACAAACAAATTTATATAATACAATTATAAAACTGTTGAAGAGTCCGTTTGTATGTGTGTGTATATACAAACGTATACATACGCACACATATTGTATATAACAGAGCAATTAATTTCAATACGGACATTGTGGCATCCACTTTACGAGTTTTAAATTTACTTTGCGCTGCAAAGTGCATCCGCGCCTCACTGTAAAGTTTTTCGGTCCTATCCCTGCGACTGTGCGGGTGTGCATTCCCCTCGATTTTGTTATGCACACGCGAATGCATCGGGGAGAAAAACGAAGGACCGTGTTCCGAAGTTCAGTGAACAATCTGAGAATAAAGCGAACGAAGCAGCTGTCTAGAGAGAGCCATGTGCGGCACGGAGCCGCGGTATGTAAACGAGACGGAAACTTGCTGCACACGGATGCAAGGATGCTTTCTAAGGGGAGGTCCTTTAAACGACCGATTACACACGCGGTGCACTAATTACGCCTTCGAAGTGTCTGGACCTTTTTTTTTTGTTTCGCGTTGGAATAAATATTTAAAATGCAAAAAGTTCGACGTTTCTTTCCTTAAGTTTAAAATAAAGAGATGTGAAACGAAGGAGAGTTCGTTTAGACTTTTTTTTTTGATAATTTGTTAAATTGCATCTCTGATAAAACTTTACACATCGAATTTTCTTGGAAAGACAACAATTTTCACGAAAGTTTAAACGCAGAAATATATCTCGTGTGTAATTAAAGAAATAAATTTCGAGATAAAATAAATAATCTCAATTAAATTAAATCAAAAACGAAATTACACACACACACACAGTGATTGAAACGAAAAATACGATGCACGCAATGTGCTCTTGATTCTTGAGCGACTCGTGACGACGAGGCTTCGTGACTTTATTTCTGGCCACGCGTGCACCGCGAGCGTGTGTACGCGTATACAACTTAACGCGACGTGGTGGAATATTATGTGAGAGGGTCTCTCTCTCTCTCTCTTTCTGCCGTGGCCCATTTTACGGCCTTGAGGAAATTCTGCTTTACCTTGTCATCGTGACTGAGCGAATGTGCTACAACGAGAACAAAAAACCGCTTTTGCGTGCGAGTTACTCACGGAGTTACCACACTTCGCGTTATGTTCTTTTTTTTCTTACGTCGTCGAATTATGTGACGGAACAAGCAATTTCCTAGAGATAGAGCAGCATGTGACTCGTATTTATTGCAAATTTCAAAAAAAAAAAGAAATTTTTGATGTGTACAAAAAGTATCGAACAAAAAGAAATTCTTGCGGAACAGATCTCGGAGATCGGTTCGGGTTCGGATTACGTCTCGAGGAGGAGGCATGTGGCAGTTTCTCACAGTCTTTTCTCTCGCGTGACGTCCTTCGTCTCCTGTCTCTCCTCTTCTTCTTCTTCGTCGTCTTACAAATCTCGTTCTCGTCACGAGAAAGAAACTCGTACTGTGAAAGGACGAGCAAATGGCTTGAAGGGTCGAGCCTGGATAAACCGGCAATTGCGCGATTTAGCGTTCCGACGATCGTTTCTCTCGCACGAAAGAGGAAACAGCGGTCAGAATGAGAGACGGCGGAAAGACGAAGGCAGAAGACAGAGGGAAATTAGGGGGAGAGCTAAGTCAGTTGTGCGAAAATGTTCCACTTCCTTTCCAACAATGGAAAAAATATTTAATGTGTATTATTTATATCTAATATCTAAAATGTCGCATATATAAATCTTCCGTTTGTTCTTCGCGATCACGTTACAATCATCCTCTCGAATTTTCTTATTTATTAAATAAATATTCTGCACGTTTCGTCGACGATATATTCTATACAGCTCGCGAAATGCAATCGAAGCGCGGAAAACCTTGGTAGAAATCTTACCGCTCGGTGCGGAACACGCTTACGTAAATCGCGGAAATATCGAGAAGTTGCTAATAGAAATTATCCTTCAAGATCGTGACTGTACTCTCTCGCGTCGTGCATTAATACCGCGAACGTCACACAAACATGTGGGTAAAAGCGTGACGCAACGATCGGCGATTAAATATCTCTGCAGAATTTTTCTTGGATTAGAGACACAAGCGATAAAAGTTACGCACACATTCGACGTACTTTCGCATTCGTGTTCAGTTGAGCGAGAACTTCCGTTACCAATGAGAACCTTGAGCAAAGCATTGCTCAAGGTGCAACCGCGTCGAGACGGTTTGTGATTATAACGTACGTTGTGCGCAACGTGCGCGACGCGCCGTTCACCGATATTTTCACTTTTCATCGCGATTCCTTCACCGCCGCCCGGTGCGTGGTCAAGTAGCGAAACGCAGGAAGTGCGGGGGAAACTAATAATGCGCGCGCGGGACCTACGCGTACCTACGTACGTGAAAAGACAAAAGCGCGCGTCGACGCGGAGGCGCAAGAAGTGCGTGCACAATCGCAAAAGATGAATGTCGCTTGTTCGTTTCGACGCGCGCACTTTGACTCACTTTGCGAATCAATCAATGTCAATGAAAACACATAGTCACGTTTAAAAAACAAAAAAGTGTCGTTGCACGTTGCACACATCGGTGTACGCAAGATATGTGAATGGGTGTCTGGAGAAAAAAGGCGTATGTTATAAATTTTTAAAATTCGTTTTTTTTGTGTGGAATTGTGGGATCGGTATGATTTAAAGAATAGATTGGCAGAGGTTTTGGTACTTAGCGATGGTCCGCTAAAGATCAGAAGATGCACAACAAGAGAATAGAGCGAACAGCGATGAAGAAAACGGAAAAAGGGCGTGTGTGATCAAAACAATGTGACAACAAACTGCAAATGTCTTGCAGTTTGAACTGTTTATGTCCCACTGTAGTTTTCTCCATGTTATTAAAGTTATAGAAAAATTCTGAAAAAATTTATGTAGTATCTCTATAAACCTTCTACTTTACAGATCAATCGAAACATTTTGGAAAAAATTAATTTGTTAAAGTAATTTTTTAATACAAACAAAGTAACTCGAGTGTAAAACTGTAGTTTCGTTTAAAAAATTATAAACTTTTCAATAAATTGATCGAATTGAAAAACAAAGTGTTTAAATTGAAGATAAAGATTGCAGCTTTTATAAAAAAAATTATGCTATTGCATTTTATTAAATATTTTAGATATTTGTCTTGATTTTCTTTTTTTAAACTTCGTTTTGTCACCGTGGCTGTCAAAGTTGTACTTTGGAGATCTGGAAATTTGGTCGTTATGCTCCTCTTCTGTACAATTTTTTTTAGAGCGGGGTCAGACCCCTTTCCCTTCCTTCCGTCTGTAAATTTATAAACGCAAGTGGATTTTGCGCGGATATATAAATGATTCTGGTTTGCAGTTCGAGGGTTAAAGAACATATGTTGGCTCAAAAAGGGCGTATGTTACACAAGCTGCTCCTTTACTTGCTACAATGAACGATTTGTTTTTTCTCTAAAATTTATGAAATGTAACACATGTACGCTATTTTTCCAGACACCTATTCATAGTATACATTAGCGATGGTTTATTTATCAGCGGACTCGATTACGCTGTTAATAAAAATCGACAAATAAATCTGATCGGGCAAATAAATTACATATGTGATTACGATGTATGAGGATTCTCCCTCTGGTGTACTTGCAGATTTAGAACTATTTATGACGTCGAGTGTACGGCGGAAAAGGAAGGAAAGGAAAGATAAAAGAGAGGAAAGGTTGAGGGAATAAATTCAAGAAGCAGAAGAAAGAGGAGAAGACGAAGACGAAGACGAAGAAGACGAAGAAGATGATACTGTGAAAGACAAGAAGGAAAGTCTTGTCGAGAAGGGAAAAGAGAAGCGGAGGGGAGGGGAGCCGGTCAGTGGCCCCTGTGCACCGGCTACCGCGTCTCGTGGCGTCTCTTCGCAAGTTCCACGGCGAATAATAATGGGAATTACGGCCAAGGCACACACGCCCGCGATTGCTTTTTTGTCGCCGCCAGTCCGTAGAAACAAGGCCCCGCGACGCAACGCGACGGTAACGAGGCCGAGACAATATAGCGGTCCAAACGCAGTTCTCCTTTTTCTACCGATGTTTTGAGTTTCACCTCATTTTGGCGAACAAGCCAGCGCTTCTTCGAAGAACACTTCGAGCAAGAGACCTTCTACTTAGGCCCGACAAAAGAATTCATCGTGACCGGCACAGTGGTTGGTCAAAAATTCGAGGGTCTTCCGGCGCTTTGATTTTCTCATTGAGGAATTTCCTCTTCTTTTACAGATGGTTCGTCCTTTTTTAACCTAAACAGATGTTCGGACTAAACCCAACTATTATTTTACCAAAGCAAACAATACAAATGATTGATGTTAAGATGAAAAAAAAATATTTAAATAAACTTTCGATATTTGACGTTTTTTCCATTTGTTAATAATTAAAAATCAAACATTACTTCTGATTGTTTGTTGTTTATTGTTACATTTACAAATAATAATGGTGTTCGAATATAAGATATAAACGATGAGAAAAGAGCGGAGAGAAAATGGCAATAAAAGTACACCGGACGACTCCGGTGAGAAAGAAAAGACGCGCGGCATCAAATGCGGTGAGGAGTTCGCGGCGAGGACAGGAAGATGATGACGATAATGAAGATGACGTGGAGAGAGGCAAGAGCAAAAGGTGGCTCGACGCATCCGGTTGCTCGGAGAACAGAGACTCGGGGGTCCGACGGTATAACGGCCGCTAAGGCCGCTCGAGACCGGTAAAGGCCGTGAACGACGCGGAGCCGCGATCCTCGCCGCTTGTCGAGTTTTTCTCAAATGCCCCGAGTCGCAGATATTGGTCTTGTATTGGTGCACGCAGTGTGTCGTCACATTGAATCGCGATGAGAGATATCACACAGAATGTTCTTTATTGCGAACACTAACTTCTTTGAATTATAAAAATTCTTTGGCCAATTGTTTGGGAGATCTTCTACTATGTAAAAATATCCGAGACATTCACGTACGTAGTCTTTAAGTTGTGAGGAATTAAAAATCAAGAAAACAACATAAACGACGACAAAAAAAAAAGAATTTATTTCTACTTGATTTTATTTGATAGAGTTTCGAGATTTTCATCTTTAAGTTTCAGTTGCGATTGTTCTCTCAATAAATTTGCTGCTGAGAGAAAATCAAAATCCAAAAACTTGACAAAAGAAAACGAATTACGCAACTACGAGTTATTCTTCTAACGAGCTGGTGCAATCTTGCATTTCGTGACTGTAATCTTTTTCTGGAACTCGTCACCTTTCTGAGCACCTATCTAATCTAGAAACAGTTTGCTCTCTTTGGGGTTCCAGCTCGATAGCCCTCTAGGTACATACCTAATCGAAGAAAGGCACATGCGTTCAATAGAGTGAGTAGAAGAGAGTGGTGGGAGTATGAAAAGGGGGCTATTCTACGGGTAAGGGGGACAAGAAGGAAAGGAACTTGTCGAGGACCAGGTAAAGGCCCTTGTGCCTCCATTGTGCCTCGACTGAGCTGACGCCAATGATAGATACCTTTTCTAGCACATACACACACACATATACATGTGCGGTTACTACTACCGGTAACTACTTCTAGGGCTTTTAACGCAGGTGACCGAACATACGCCTTTTTTGTACGCACTGACGGTCGATACACGTATTGCATGAAAAACTCTTTTTCCATCAAGCTCAATAACAAAATAATACTTTTTCATTGTTTTACAACTACTTTGAGACGTATTATATTTTATATTGTTGTGTTATATATATATTTATATATTTTCATTGTAAAACAATGAAAAAGTAATATTCTGTTATATAGCTTGATGGAAAAAGAGTTTTTCATGCAATACGTGTATCG